CCAGAATATGTAACTACCCCATAGAAAGCTGGGGGGTGGAGGGGTTCCTAAGGGTGCCCAGGTCTGTGACAGGGGCCCTGGGGCCCTCACTAAATTGTCCACATCCTTCCCCTAGCCTGTGGCCTGCTACCAGAGACCTCTCAGACGACGGGGGTCCTGTGGCCCTGGCTGGCAGAGGTCCACGTGGCTGATGGCCGAGTGTGCTCGGGGATCCTTGTGGCCCGGGGCTGGGTCCTGGCAGCCACGCACTGTGTCCTCAGGTGAGCCTCGCCCAGCCTCTGGGCAAGAAGGTGGCAGAGGGGTCGTGGTGGCAGAGGGGTCATGAGCTGGGCAGGAGAAAGATGCAGCTCTCTGCTCCCACCAACAGCTGCATACAGCCTCAGAACCCTGAGAGCAGGGGCCGTGGTCCTACCGGGCCACTGTGAGCCGGGCTCAGCTTCCACCATGGCACTGGGTTTGGTTTTGGAGGCAGGAGACTGGAGGGGGCATTAGGAGGGAGTGAAGTCGCTGCAGAGTGTTTTCAACCAGAGGAGAGAGTAAGGAGGACTAATGAAGGCATTGGTGCAGTGACTCCAGACTCCTGCTACCTTTTCCCCTGGGCTGGGAAGGACTTGGCCTGCAGTGACTTGGCCTTGGCTTTCATCTGACAGACCAGGCTCTACAACAGTGCCCTCTGTCCAAGTGTACCTGGGCCGAGCAGGGGCCAGCCCCCTCCCACAAGGCCACCAGCTGTCCCGCTGGGTCATCAGCATCCGCCTACCCAGGCACCTGGGACTCCGGCCCCCTCTGGCCCTGTTGGAGCTGAGCTCCCGCGTGGAGCCCTCCCCATCAGCTCTGCCCATCTGCCTCCAGCCAGGAGGCATTCCTCTGGGGGCCAGCTGCTGGGTGCTGGGCTGGAAGGACCCCCAGGATCGAGGTCAGTGGGGGCGCCTAGGGAACAGAGCCCTGCCTGGGTCCTGGGGAGGGGAGTAGTGCCTGGAAGCCAGACACCTGCAGCTCCCATCATTCCTCTTTCCAGTCCCTGTAGCTGCTGCTGTATCCATCCTGACACCACGACTCTGTCACTGCCTCTATCCGGGCTCTCTGCCTCCCGGGACCCTCTGTGTCCTCTACGCTGAGGGACAGGAGGACACCTGTGAGGTACAGGGTCCTGAGCATCCCAGTCCAGGGAGGGGACAGGCAGTGCTGGGCGGTCAGCCTCTAAAGTGAGACCAGGAGGGCATTTTTTAGTCCTGGGCCCAGTAGAGTCCCAGTGTCAGAGACCCACTGGGCAGTTCTACCCTGTCCTAGCCCGTGGCCGGGAGTGGGCATCGACTCAATGGCAGGAGCTTGGCTTGCGTTTGGGACACGCGTGGCATCATGGGCTATAAGCTGGGTTGGTCAGCGCTTCTCAGAACCGTGCGGCTCTCTACTCTCGCTAGGATCTGCAGGCTCAGAAACCCACAGGGAAGTCCTACTCTGTCCTCTAGGGTCACTGTGAGCTATGAGTCAGAATGGACTCGGTGGCCAGGGATTTGGGGGCTTGGGGACCCCCAACTAGGAAGAAGCAGAGCTTTGTGGCTGAGCCTTGGAGAGAGAGAGAGAGAGAGAGAGAGAGAGAGAAAAGAATCCTTTCCAAATATATGGAAAAGACCAGGTGGGCCTTATAAGGAGATACAGAGGACCAGGACCAAGTGTCACAGATCTCTGGGGCCTGGGCTCTGACTGCAGGTGACCTCGGCGCCCCCGCTCCTGTGCCAGACTGAAGAAGGCTCCTGGGTCCTCCTGGGTATGGCTGTTCGAGGGAGCAGGGAGCTGTTCGCTGCTGTTGCCCCTGAAGAGACCTGGATCGCCCAGACAGTGGGGGAGGCCCACTTCCTGCCCCCAAGTGGTTCCCCCAACTGGCCCTTCGAAGGCAGTGACCTTTGTCCTCCAGACATGGCCGGGGCCTCAGGCTCCCCTCGGGCCTCTCTGCTTTTGCTGCTACTGACCCTGCTGATCCAGAGCTGATTGGCCTGGGTTCCCCGGGGGTTACCTTCCCCTCCTGGCCCATCTCCTTGCCCCCAGCTCAGTCACTGGAATGTCGCCTGACCTGGAGGGTGCCCCACCCACTGAGGCAGCTTCAGATAATTGGACTTTGGTGGCCAGGTATTTGGTCCTAGGAATCCTTGGGGGTGGCAGCAAGAAGAGGGACAATAAAGGTGTAAACACTGACACGTGCTCTGTGGCATCTCTGAGGGCATGCTCAAAAAGCCAGGCAGCCTGTGCTGCGGGGAAGCCCACAGAGCCAAAGGCCAGCCCCTCCCTCCTGGGGCCTCCCTGAGTCAGGCCTTGGGCTGCCAGGAAATATGTCCCTGATAACGTGGCAGCAGTCCCCTCATTCCTGCCCCAGGCGGGGAGGTGGGGCAGCCAGCTGGTGTGTGTCACCTCCTCAGAGGGTCCAGCGTCACAGCCCAGCTTGGCTCCTAAGGTCCTTTCCCCGCCCCCTGAAGAGCAGCAAGGCTAGGGGTTCCAGGAGTCTGGGAATCCAGAATCCAGTGTCGTATTCGGTGTCACCAGGAAGCCCCTCACCCCCCTCCCCCCATACCTATACACCGAGCCCTCAGGGTACACCCTTGTCCCCTGCATACATGTGAAAAGGACCTTCCCCTCCAGGGTCCCCTCTGGTGTTGCTAAGAGTGTACATCCTGCTCCGTGAGGCACTACTTACCTGTGCTCACACACCACACACACATCACACACACATGTGCACATATCACAAACCACACACATATCTCACATATACACACAGCACATACACATACATACCACACAATCATATATAGACACACATGCCACACATGTGCGCACACATATACACATGTGTCACACATATGCACATACATATCCTATAGACACGTCACACATATATACAAGTGCACACTGCACACACATGTCACACATATGCACATACATATCCTATAGACACGTCACACATATATACACACATATCACATACATAATACACATATCCATACATACACCACACTATGCACACACATACAAATATACACATATCGCACACATACACGTATACACACTCATCAACACACCCCCTAAATTCATCAAATATCGCCTGCCAACCGCCGGTCCAATTGGGCCCGATCTTGAGGCCCCAGGGTGCTCCCGAACTGACACTGGCTAGGGGGCCTGGGCGGTGGCACGGGGAAGTGGTAGACCAAAGAAAAGGCCAGCACCATTTCGTCATCTTCTTTCTCAAGATGCGTCCTTGAGGGGCTCCCAGGGGTGCCAGGCAGGGTCCCCCTCCTGTGCGTTCACCCACAGAGCCCCTCCCCACGTGACAGGGCCCGGCGGGGCAGGTGTCTGTCCGGACGATCCCTGGCAGGAAGTACAGTGCAGGCACTCGGGCAACGCTTGTGGCGGGATTGGCACTCAGACACGCTCACCTGGAAGCAGCTGCGGCGGCAGGCGTTACCGGGAACGGCCTTGGCCGGCCCAAGCTGCCCTCGCAGGCTCCCACTCCGATTCTGGCTTTAAGGCAGGTGGGGGGAGCCTTCGTATGACCTTGTTCATGAAGGCTGGGCCAGGTCCTGCATGACTGGTCTGCGACACCGGGAGAGCGGGGGGCACGGCCAGAAGGACCGGGGACAGATGGCGGAAGCCCACCCCATCGGGGTCCCAGCCTGGCCAGAGGGCGAACACTCGGTGGGGGTGGGGGTCCTTGCCACCCAGCGCCGCCCCACCCGACGGACACACCCCGCGCAGGTGAGTGGAGGAGGAAGCTGAGCGGGAGGGCGGGGCCAGGGGCGGGGCGGCCAGGTGGGTACCTTCCCTCCGGAGCCGCCACTTCTGGGAAGTCTGGCTTCCCGGGATCAACTAGGCTCTGGCCGCCCAGCTGGCCAAGGAGACCCGAGGCGTCGCCCTGGGTGCTGGGTCCCTGCCTTCGGAGATAGCCTTGGCCATCCCGCCTCCCTGCCCGCCGGGATTCCGGGAGCCCTTCCCCGTGGGCCCGGCGCCAGGATCCCACCTGCAAAACCAGCCTCAGACCCCACCTCCTTCGCTCGGCTCTCGCTCGGCTGCCGGGGGGTGGGCGTCCTCCAGGGGCCCTTGTCCTGGGCCATGGCCCAGAGGGCAGATCTGGGGCCTGGGCAGCTGAAGACGCTGGCCATTCTGCTCTTGCTGCGATTTTCCCGACCCGCCATGGGTGAGTGACCGTGTCCGCCAGGGTGGGGGAAGGGAGGCATACCTTCTCCCGGGGACCCTTGACTCCTGATCCCCCCCCTCCCCCGCCCCAGGCCTTGACGTCGACCTCCCCCTTTTTCCACCTCGCCCTGGTCTCCTCCGGGGAGAGACAAGGTGGGGCTGGGGGCGCCTGGTGGAGAAGAGAGCAGCGCTGGAGGTTCGGGGGAACTTGGGCGGCCCTGCTTGCCCCTCCCTTCGTTTCTGCCCAGCCAGGCTGGCAGGGGTGGGGGAGGGGCGGCAGAAAGGGGTCCAGATTCTAGCTGGTCTGGCTTGTTGAAGGAGACATCTGATCCTCTGCTATTGTCTTTAAAAAAAAAAAAAACTAAAAAAACCCCAGAAAGCCCCACAGCTGCGGCCCAGTGGGTTCTGACTCATAGTGACCCTATAGGGCAGCACGGAGCTGCTCTCTAGGGACTTGAACACCCACAACCTTCTAAGAGCAGACTGCCACCTCTCTCCTGCCCCACCGCCTTGTAGCTTCAGACCTCCCACCTTACCCCTGAGGGTCGTCATCACCCGCCTTTTGTGGGCCAGGTAGGGAGACGGAGGTGGCACCCCCAAAGACACACCTCACAGTTGACCGGGGACTGAGAGCGAGTTAAGGATGAGTCACAGAGGAGTCCAGAGTCCAAGGGTCCCTTTTCCTCCAAGGGACGCACCCGGGTTCTCAGGCGACACAGGCCGTCAGCCCTGACTTTGCCCGGGCTGTGCCCCTTTGGCCAAGTCTCTTCACCCAAGCTGCAGTTCCTCACCCCTAACATGGGTTATGTCTGCCTCCTGGGGCTGCAGTGAGGCCTCTCGGAGGTCAGGAACGTGAGCTCCTTCCAGACCCCAAACACTCACTCCCCAGTATTTCCATTAGGAGAGAAAAGTCCTCATGGCACAGTGGTTAAGCATTCTGCCGCCAACTGAAAGGTTGGTGGTTCGAATCCATCATCACTCTTCAGAAGAAAGATGGCCCTAGAGGCTTTTGGAGGTCTCCTTTGGTAAGGTCGCTGGGTCTGTGAGTCGGAATCCGTTCGAGGGCAGTAGGCTGGGTTGGGTTGGGTCTGCTCGAGTTGAGGGTGAGGAGGCAGCTGGCTGGGCAGTTTTTCTCTGCTTCTTAGACGGTGACTTTGTGAAGGGCTGGGAGGCGGCACCGTAAGCATGGCTTCGCAGGGTGTGGCCTTGTCCCGGAACCTGCCCCAGAAAGGTCACCTCCCAGGAGCCTGGTTCATCTGAGCCAGAGCATGTGTTCTGAACGCTTTGGTGACTCTGTCTGGGCACTCAGCCCATTCTGGGAGCTGGGCACCTGGAGCTTTGAGGAGGAACTCACGCCAGGAAGTCTGCAGATTGATGTGCTTGAAACGGAGGCAGAGCCACTGAAGCGCTCTTATCAGTCGGGCTGCCATTTGAAGAGAATTTTTCTAAAGCAGAGATCTGCATGAACAAAGGCCCCAGCGCGGCGAATGAGTGTGTAGCCCGGTGTGTGTGACAGGAAATGTCCAGAGCGGTGGCCAGAGTAGACGGCAGTGACGTGGAGGGTTTGAAAGGAAGGGCTCCCGGGGAAGTGGGGAGAGACCTGGCCCCCGGGTCTGTAGGTTCAGAACGTCTTCAAGCATGTGAGGAGTGGGTTGGATGGAGGGGAAGCAGGATGAACCACGTTGTACGGTGGGGACAACAGGCTTCTGCCGCCCGACTTCCCAAGCTCCATGCTGTCAGCAGGGGTGGGACGAAGAGCCTGACCCCCTTTTCCCTTTCTCCTCCGGCAGCCACCTGCGGCGTAGCCCCACAAGCGCGCATCACAGGCGGAAGCAGCTCGGCCCCTGGTCAGTGGCCCTGGCAGGTCAGCATCACCTACAACGGCGTCCACGTGTGTGGTGGTTCTCTTCTGTCCGAGCAGTGGGTGCTGTCTGCTGCTCACTGCTTCCCCAGGTACCAGGTGCGGGGAGAGGGAAAGGGGCATGCCGCTCAGAGGCGGGCTGTGGGAGTCAGGTGTCAATCCAGGCCAGAGGTTGGGGTCCTGGGGTTGGGGCTGAGGTGTCTGAAAGGAGCAGCCAGGAGGTGGAGAGGACAGAGGTCACCAGATCAATGTAGGACCCAGGGATGGTCTATAAAAGGCCATCTGTCTGGGATCAGAGCCTGGGCTTGAGGGGGACCGCCGGGTGCCAGCCTCTGCCCATGTGCCCGCAGAGAGCACTCCAAGGATGACTATGAGGTGAGGCTGGGTGCCCACCAGCTGGACTCCTTCAACCCTGACGCTGTGGTCAGCACCGTGGCCCAGGTCATCACCCACCCCAGCTACCAGCAGGAGGGCTCCGAGGGCGACATCGCGCTCTTCCGCCTCAAAAGGCCCGTTGCCTTCTCCCGCTCCATCCGCCCCATCTGCCTCCCGGCCGCCAACGCCTCCTTCCCCAATGGCCACCATTGTACGGTCACTGGCTGGGGCCACGTGGCTCCCTCAGGTGAGCTGGGGGCACCGGCTGCCTAGAGGCACAGAGGGAGGGTGAGGGGGCCTGACTCAGGACTGGGCCCTGGATAAGCATCTTTTGCCCCGACAGTGAGCCTGACAGCCCCCAGACCTCTGCAGCAGCTGGAGGTGCCTCTCATCAGCCGGGAGACGTGTAACTGTCTGTACAACATCAACTCCAAGCCCGAGGAGCCCCACTTCATCCAGAAGGACATGGTGTGTGCAGGCTACGTGCAAGGGGGCAAGGACGCCTGCCAGGTAAACGGGGCGGCCGGGGTTGGGGGGAAGGGTGAGAAGAGGAGACAAGTACATCTTGGGAGACCAAGGCTGGAGGCCCAGGTCCTGCTTCTGACAGCTGCCATCTGGCTTCTCTCCTCAGGGTGACTCCGGGGGCCCGCTCTCCTGCCCTATGGGGGGCCTCTGGTACCTAGCAGGCATTGTGAGCTGGGGCGACGCCTGTGGGGCCGCCAATAGGCCTGGCGTGTACACGCTGACCTCCAGCTACACCTACTGGATCCAGTACCACGTGTCCGACCTCCCCTCGCATGTGGTACCCCAGACCGAGGAATCCCTGCCTGACGACCACCTCTGCCGGAACCATCACCTTCGGCCCCACAACTCTGCCCCGGGGCCAAGTGGGCTGCGGGGGTCCGCTCGCATGCTGCTGCTGCTGGGCCTGGCCCTGAGCCTCCTCTGCCGGTGGCCATAGCAGAGCTCACTGCCGCCAGTGCTGCTGGGAGCAAGGCCCGCCCCCGACTGACATTATCCAAGGACAGATACCCGTTCCCAGGGGGCCCAACTTGCACCCCTCCTTCCTCTGGGGGCCCCTGCTGGAGGTCAGGGAAGCACCCAATCTTCTGAATTTGCCCTTGGGGCCTACAGCCCAATCTTGGGTTTTCTTGCCTGTGGAAGCCCCGCCCTCCAGCTAGCCGCCCGCCTGTTGGTTGGACTCCTATGGAGCCCCCTGGGATCCTGGGCTGTGAGTATGGGCTCAGGCCCCCCACCTTGCTTCTGGAAGACTGGCCGCTGAAGGCCTGGCTATGGGCCACCACTGGGTCTGTGTGACACTGTCCATCCCTCCGCCAGCTTCCTGCCTTCCTTCGGGGCCCGGGCTGCCTTCTGGGCAGCATGTCCCCCAGGACCAGGGAGCCCCGCCATCTTGCCTGTGGACTGCCGTGCCCCACCCCCACCCTTAAGCCCTAACTCCTGGACTCCGGTGGAATGAGCCCCCTCGGAACTGAGCTGGGCCTTGGACCTGGTGGGGGAGGGGGGGAAGAGCAAGGAGTAAAGTGTCTGAAGCACAACGAGCTTGTGTGTGTGTGTGTGTGTGTGTGTGTGTGTGTGTGTGTGTGTGTGTGTCGGGGGTGGGGGTGGTGCGCATGGCACAAAGACCAGCCTGTGCGTGGCCTCTCCCTCTCCCTCTGCAGTCCAGAGCCACTAAAGAAGTTACTTTATTTAAACAAGGAAACAAACAGGTCTGTACATCCATTTACAAACTGGAGGCGAGAGGGGTGAGCAAGGGGGCTGAGTCCAAGTGCTGGGCCCAGGCCATCACTTCTTGGAGAGTTTTACTTGCTTGTGTTTGGGGGGGGCCCACTTGAGGCAGATAGAGTCCACTGTGGGGAGAAGATGGACAGAGATGGGTTAGACCTCCCGGCCAGGCCACCGCACCACCACCATGCACTTGCACGCACACACACCTGGCTGCACAGCTCTGGTTCCAGGCCAGGTTTCACCTCCTCCAGGTGAGAACAAAAGGGCAGTGAGTCCTGAGGGGGGAGGGGTGGGGAAGCTCAGGAATGAGTGACTTGCCTCAGGCCTGTCCCCAGAACTGGTCTGACGGGTTTGGAGTCATGTGACAGCAAAGTCAGGAGACTCTGACTCCCAGCGGGTTTGATACACACACACACACACACACACACACACACACACCCTGGGCAGCCCCCCACCCACCTGTGATGGGCGGTTTCTTATACTGGGCACTCTTGAGGTGTTCCTCCACCAGCTTGGGTGTGACGCAGATGACGTGCTGGCCCTTCCAGTACTTGACCATGTTGAGGGACTGCAGGGTGCTGATGATGTCATTCTGGGTGATGCTGGTCATCTGGCTGTAGGATGGGGAGAGCAGGGCTGAGCGCGTCCCCCCGGGAGGGGTGACAGGGGGCAAGCACAAGAGGGTGAGGGGATGGGGTCCTAGCACTCGAGGAGCCCTCCCTCACATGGTCAGGGCCCTCACCTCAGGTCCTTGATGGACAGCGTGCCCCGGAAGTCTCGCAGGATCTCCAGCAGCACCCAGGACCAGTAGCTGCGGTAGCTGAGTTTGCCCAGGTCAGAGAGCGGCTTCTCGGGGGAGCCCACCGTGCTCTCCAGTTTAGACAGCTCATAGCCTGGCAGGGTGCAGACAGGAAGCTGCTGAGGACCTTGGCCTGGCCAGGCCCCTAGGGCCACCGCTGTGTGCGCACACACGCAACACACATCCCGACACACTGGGGGCCACTCACTGAAGGCGATGAGAAACTTCCCGTAGCCGCGGCGCTGGTAAGGGGGCAGGGTCAGGATGCAGGCCACGTTGTTGCCATCTGGGGACTCCTTCTCCTGCAGGGGAGAGTGGGGGGAGGGCTCAGGACCTCTGTAGAGGCTCATCTCCTGCCCTCCCCCCAGCTCCCCGCACCCACCGTGTTCACCTTGGAGAAGTAGCCAACAATGTGAGCCCCCTGCCGGTCCACCTCGGTCAGGATGTAAAAGACGAAGGGCTCCACGTCGAAGTACAGCGTCTTGTGGTCCAAGAACAGTTTGGCCAGCAGACACAGGTTCTGGCAGTAAATCTGAGGGACAGGGAGGCGGGGGACAGGCTAGGAGAGCAGACAGGATTGCCCTACCCAGCCCGGCAGGGGCCAGAAGCCTTGAAGGACAACCACCTGGGCTGGGCAGGAGGACAGAAAGCCTGCGAGCCTTTCTCACGTGGGGGCACGACGGTGGCCCTGCAGGCTTAGTGTGGTTACGTTCCACGTGCTGGATTCCGGCAAGTTGCTCTGTGTGTGTCACCTGCTTCGGCTTCCCTGTCGCAGCCTCTCAGCTCAGACCAAGAAACAGGCTGCGGGGACAGGAGTGCCTTGCCCGAGGTTCTGGGCCAAGGCAGGAATTCAAGCCGGCAGAGGGGCCTGCGAAAAGCTGTGTCCCCCACACCTGGCACCAGGCTGAGGCATGACACTGAGGCTTCGGTCACATCCTGACTCCAGGGAACCCCAAGCCCTTTTGGACCGCGTCTCCTTGCTGCAGGCCCGAGACCAGGGGCACTAGGACCTGGAGGGTGGCTTCTAGCACAGATCACCTGGTTATGACACCCTCTCACACCCACTCCCTCATCAGACCCAACCAATGCCAGTCAGGCCCAGCTCCCTTCCGCAGAACCTGACACTCTGGGAAGGGAAGTTTTAGCAGGCGGGTCGAGCAGGACCAGGACCCGCATCTATAGCTGGAGCCCGTTCTGCCCTCTCCCCTGTGTGCATGCGTGCGTGTGGGTACCGGCGGCAGCAGGGAGGACCAGCTTGGGAATTCCCCGTGCTCCAGGCTGACAGGTCACTAGTCACAAGAGCTCGAGTTTACTAAGCGCCTGCTGACGCTGGCACCGGCTCCGCTCTGGCCATATGCTGTCCCACTGGTTGCACCAACAACCCTGAGGTAAACACTGTCCTGACTCCTGTTTGTGGAGGAGGAAACAGGAACGGAACTGTGGGGTCACTTGCCTGCGGGCACCTAGGACCTGATGGGGCAATGGGAAGCCGGTAGCCACGCTTCCTCTTGCACCACACAGCACTTCCCACGGAGAGGGGGACCCTCGGAGGTGAGATGGGCCGGGGAAAGGTCGTACTCATCCGACCCTGCCTCACCGAACCCCCACCCAGGAAGGAAAAGCCCCTCGGTGAGCGGCCTCCAGAAATAAAACACAATAAAAACGGACACAGACAACCCACTGCCAACCCAGCAAACCCAGAGGACGGGGCAGTGCCCCGTGGGGTCTGACACTATGACCTGTGAACGCTGTTTGGGAACAGAAAGCCTGATGGATCCCAACTGCTGACCCTGTGCTTCCTAAGAGACATCTCTCCGGGGGGCTCCAGAGCGACCCTATCAGAAGTCCCGCCCCCAGGCGGCCACCACAGGGCTGTGGGTGGTTCAGGACTAACCACAGATGAGGGCCAGACAAAGGGTAAGGCCGGCCCCTGCCCACTGGCGAGGTGCCCGGTGCCCACCACCCCCTGCTTCCCATGCAGCCCTGGGCGCTGCGCAGGCTCACCTTGTGGTCTTTGCCGTCCACCTCATACACGGAGATGTTACTCTTGCGATAGATCTCCTTCCCTGGGGGCTGCCGCCACTGACACTGGCCCTGGGGGACGGGGCAGAGGGAGAAGGGCGTTAGCCAGAGGCTTGAGATTGCCAGGCTTTCTGAGCAGAAGCCCAGCCTTCCCCTCCTCCCCAACCTGTAGCCTAAGTCTCAGTTTCCCATCCTCAACACCTCACCTGCCTGAGGTGATCCTCCCAATAACCTTCAGAGCTGAATGCCGTTCACCCACAAAGCAGCGGAGGCCTCGTAAGGTGCAGTCCCCCGCAGAGCAGGACAGGCTGTAGAGCCAGCCAGCCGGGCTCGAGCGGACTCCCAGCACGGCCACCAGCGGGCACTCCCAACCACGCCTCAGGTGCCAGGCTTGGGAAATCCTGACCCTGGCATTCAAGAGACCTGCTCCTGCCCCTCTGTCTACTCCTCCAGGCCCCCCACCCCACCCTGGCTCAGGGGCTGTGTGCTCTTCAGTCCAGAGGAGCCCAGCACAGGGCTGGCTTTGGCAACCAGGTGACAAAGAACAGAAACCGGCGGGCAGGGCAGGGATTCCTGACCCCACCCCCATCCCCATTCCTTAGATGAGGAAGGGTCTGGAAAGGGACCTCGGCAAGGCCAGGCAGCGAGCGAACGGCCCGGCAAGGCCTGAAACCCAGGACCCGTGCGCACTGAGCCTCTTGGGGCCGTCTGTGCCTCGGCCTCCTGCCCTGCCCAGCCCTGAGGGCCCCGTCCAGCCTCACCAAGTGGAAGCGGTAACTCTTCTCGTACTTCATGTACTTGAGGCAGTACTCGCAGAGCCAGAGCTTGGGCTGTTTCCCATAGTCCTCAGGGAAAGGGGAGAAGTACCAGGCGTCAATTTCGTAGTTCCCGATGTGGATCTTGTCCACGTACTTCACCTTGGTTATCTGTCAGAGGGGTGGGAGTGGGGCGCAGGGCTGGCTCAGCGGGAGCACAAGGGGAGAGGTCCCCGGGGCGCAGGCCCCTGCCCCTGCTCACCGCCTCATGCTCCTTCTCCAGGGCCGCCGTGGTCGGGTCCATCTCTGCGTAGGTCTGGGGCACGGAGAGAGAAGTGGACAGAGGTGAACCCCAACCCCAGAACCCACAGCGGCCTCCACTGCCAACCAGAGCTCATCCTGTGGATGATTAACAACTGACATTCAAGCAGCTTACTCAGTCGTTGGGCTGCGAGGTACAAGGATGGCAGTTTGAAACCACCAGTCGCCCCGCACGAGAAGGACGGGTTTTCTGCTCCCCCAAGAGCTGCCGACTTGGAAAGTCAGAGGGCCAGCTTGAGTCAGCATGGCTTCGACAGCAGTGACTTTGGTGAGGGCTCACCAAGCACACATCCCAGATACCGCTCACGCCCAAGTTGGGTACCATGGTGAGGAGCAGGCGACTGCGAAGGGCTTCCGCTGAGTAATGGGACCCAGCTGGGCTCTTGGTGTAAGCTACAGACGAAACCACGGGCCTTCCCTGACTGCCCATCGCAGGCCTTGGCCTGGAACAGGTCCACTAGCTACCTGCGCAGAGGTCTTTCCCCCGATACAACAGCCTCCAGGTGTCCTGAAAGGAATTCTCTTCTCTCCTCCTGGAGCCCCCACCGCCCCCGAGCTACCACCCTCTCCTCAACCACCCAGGAGCAGTAACCGGGCTTGGTTTTAAATGCTGCTGCTTCTTGGCCTGATGTGCGATTAGTGGCCATACTGCCCTGTCCACCTCCCTGGCACCTTTGGACTTGGGTCTCCGCTTCCCTGTGCCGTCCCCACAGCCACTGCCACCATGCTGGGCTGGGACAATGAACGAGGCCACCTCAGAGCCCCTGCCTCCCATGAGCCCTCACACTTCCTCTGTGGCCCTGGTGTTTGTGCCTTGAATGCCCCGCCCACCCTACCAAAGTGCTTGCTCAGCAGGGCACAGAGCATGAGGCCGGAGGGCCTGGGATGAAGCAGGGGAAGCAGGGTTTGCTCTCCGTCACTGCTTTATCCAGAATGGACACCCTCCTTCCCAAGCTGGGAGTGCAGTGGCCAATGACGTCCAAGACCAAACGAGCTGCTTCTTCATAGTCACTCCTGTGCACTTCCATGAGACGTAAGAGAACCTCCTCTTTTGCTTCACACTGCACAGATCAGCCCGCAAACCACCACCCCCCACCCCCACCCCCCGGTCGGTGACCTGACACCTTTTAAAGCTCCTCGCCAGGGTCCCCCCGCCTCTCCAATCCAACTCCTTAGGGAGCAGTAGGCCAGCTCGTGACAACTATGGGAGAAACAGACACAACTTCCTGGGGAAGGGGAGCCCGAGGCCGAAGACTGGGATGGAGGGCACCTGCTCCCATCTCACGGCTGAACAGCAGAGGAGTGGAAGGAGCAGCGATTTGCCCTTGGAAGCACCGTGCCAGCCTGGCCTCATCTAACCCCTGGGGCAATCCTGAGACACAGCATCCTTATTCCCTTTGACGGGAAGGCAGCCGGCAGGAAGAAGTGAGGGCACTTGCTCTGGGGGATAATCAGCTGCCATTTAATCCAAGTAGCAAGCACTCTCTAGGCATGATTTCATTTTGTCCTTGCAGGGAGACTGAGCCGAGAGTTCTCACTACCGAGTTCTCACTACCCTCGTTGGACAAAAGAGGAAACGGGGACACCAAAAGGTGAGGTCACAGAACTCGTCACCAGCAGAGTTGGGTCTGGGCCACTAGTCTGTCCAAACTTGAACGTGACCACTGCCGAGTGAGGGAAGATTTCCCTCCTCCTCCCCGTCCCACGCCTCCTTAAAACGTGCTGCACACAGCACTCGCCTGCAGATGCATCAAGAATTACACCAGTCTCCTCTGACTCTTAGCAACCCTACAGGACAGGGCAGAGCTTCTCCGTGGGTTTCCGAGGCTGTTACTTCTTTAGGGGAGTAGAAAGCCTCATCTTTCTCCCCAGAAGAGGCTGGTGGTTTCGAACTGCTGACCCTGCGGTGAGCAGCCCGATGCATTACTCGGACGCCATCAGGGCTCCTCACACAAAAACACCTCTTTGTCTGATGTGCTGCAACGTATTCTGAAGGAGACTAACGTTGCTATTTAGAATGAATGGGATTAAACACTGGTCCGCACCATTCAAGGGCAGCGGAGAGGTGGGTCTCTGCGACCCGATGCTCCTGGCTGAGCAACTACCAAGTCCATGGATCTGTGCTGTCCAGCTGGGGAGCTCACATTTAAATGAGGATGCGGTGCAACTTAATTCCCAGTCATGTGAAGGTGCTCACCAGTGGCATGTGGCCAGTGGGTTCCTGACCAGATAGCACATACACAGAGAGTCCAACGGGAGAGGGACGCCCTAGTTCACAGCATTTCAGCAGCTGGTTTGTCAACACAAGCCGCAGGCAGTGCATTTGGCAATGCCCAACCAGCTGACGTGTGTGTATGTGTGCTTTCACAGAAAAGTAAAGCTTCCCCAAACACTGCTTACCTTTGAAAGGAATGCTTGTTCTTACCTAACCCTCTCTCCCCTCTATGTAAAACTGAAGCTGCTTTGTGCCATCGGCCCACGGGCTGTGTTTCAGAGTGTGAGAAAACGGGGCGGCAAAGCACACAGCAAGTGCTCAGAGGACAAAACGGCTACGCTGCTTGACTCTCGTGTCTGAAGGCCTGCAGAGCTGGAGAAACCCTCTTCTGGTGTGAACACCCTGTTACGCAGATCAGGAGCCCCGGTGGCGTGGTGGATATGAGATGGGCTACTACCTGAAAGGTCAGCAGTTCAAAAGCACCAAAACTGCTCCTTGGAAGAAAGAAGAGACTTTCTGCTCCCACAAAGAGCTACAGTCTTGGAAACCCACAGAAGCAGTTCTACCCCGTCCTATAGGGTCACTATGGGATTATGCAGAACAAGAGAGGGAGGGAGGAAGGGAGTAACCTGCTGAGGTACAAAGAACCCAGGTTTTGGAGGCAAGAGGCCTTGGGTTTCTAGAACGTGTCAGTAATGGTTCGGGGCTGGGCTCTGAAGTTGGACAGCCAGAGTGGGATCTAATTTCCAACTGGGGAACCTGACTTAACTGGCCTTCCCTTGTAAACCGGGACAGCCATCATAATGCTGTACCTCACAGGGCTGCAGTGAGACGTCAGCAGCCTCACGTATGCAAGACACGTACCAACTACTTGGCTCACAGACCAATAAATATGCAGCAGCATCAGTCCATTTCCACCTCATCAACCAACGGTGTGACCTTGGGCCCATTACTTAACCTTTCTAAGCTTGCTTCCTCACGAACCAAGAGAGGTGATTATCCCTGTGGCACTGAATTGTTGTGGCGGAGGGAGGAGCTTCAGGTACGCAGAACACAGGATGTTCAGTAATAGCCAGTGCCTGATGAGCAGTCATGTTGGACCCTCCCCTTTGGACTTCCAGTCTGCTTGCCTGAGGGGGCAAAGCCAATGGGAGATAAGAGGCAGGAAGCCCGAGTTTCAGTCTCACGGTGGCACTGCCATGCAGTGAGACTACCCACGGCCAAGCCGTTGCCCTAAGCCTCAGTTTTCTCATCAGTGAGGAGTCCAGGCAGGAAGTAGCCCTGACAGACTAGGAGGGTGCAGAAATGAGTGACTGAAGTCCAGCCCCGGACGCCCCGGGAACCCCGACCTTCTGCACGTGGTTGATCTCATCATGCTTGCGCTTCTGGTTGCGGGTGATCTTGCGTTCGGGCTGCTCAGCCAGCTCACTGAGGTACTTCTCGGAGTTCTTCTGCACGGCGTCCTTCACTGTCTTGGTCAGTGCCAGCCGGTTCTTGTCGACCCATTCATCCAGTCGCCGGTTAACTGTGGGGAGGGGGCTGTGAGAGCTCGGCCTTGCTCGGGGGGTCCCCCCCTCCCCCATCTCCTCCCCCCAGGCCCTGCGTGCCCCAAGCACTCACAGCCCACATAGTGCACATAGAATTCCTCTCGGCCCTCCTGGTCATTGACTCGAGACTGGATCACTTCCGCGGAATCTGCAAGGAAAAAGGATCAGGCCATTGGGAAGGAAAGGCAGGGCTGAGATGAGAGGGAGCCTGCACACAGAGAGGCAGTTTCCAGGGCCATGCATGGCCTGCCTCCCCATCCGTACAGGTCTAGACAAAAGCCCTCCAGCCCCAGGAGGGGGGTCAGGCTGGGGCTGCAACACTGAGCTGAGCTTAATGCGGGCTCTCATTTCCTTGCTCATTTTACTGCACCAGGGGATGTCTAAGAGTTTCTAGAAATGTCCCATGACTTTTTCACTCCACTTCCCCCTGAGCTGTTTGAAGGCCCTTCGTCTAGACGGGGTTACTGTTGTTAGGGGTCGAGAAGGCTGGCTAGTCCATCCGGCCTCCTCCATGTCCCAGATCTGGTTACTTCACTCTCGGGCCTGTTTCATCGTCAGTAAGAGAGATGAAATCATGGCCATTTCAGAGGGTGACTTAATACCTATAGAGCAGGGGTCCTCAAACTACAGCCCGCGGGCCACATGCGGCCCACCGAGGACATTTATCTGGCCCACTGGGTGTTTTTGCCCCATTTGTTTTTCTACTTTAAAATAAGATATGTGCTGTTGCATAGGAATTTGTTCATAGTTTTTTTTTTAACTATACTCCAGCCCTCCAATGGGTCTGAGGGACAGTGAACTGGCTCCCGTTTTAAAAAGTTTGAGGACCCCTGCTGTGGAATTTAGCTGGGACCTGACAGCAAGCAAACCATCAAGAAATAAAGGACCCCCGCCTGTCTGCCCTATGCTGGTTGCTGGGTGCAGAGAATGCACCAACCTGCTCCTAGCCCCAACCTGCTAAAACAGCGGTTCTCAACCTGTGGGTCTCAACCATTTTGGGGGTCAAAGGACCCTTTCACAGGGGTCTCAGAACACATGTTTCCAATGGTCTTAGGAACCGAGACATTGCTCCTTTATCCGTCTCCAGGCGGGTCTACCCACATGCAGAGACGCCCACATACGTCTACCCATCATGATGATATCATCACACCAACCCCATCACATACACCAGGAACAAATACAGGTGTGACAGGGTTGGTGCCATAATGTCCTTATGCGGACCAGTCACACATGTGTAGAGAGCAGCTAATATGTAGAAAGCAGCTGCTGTGTTGAAAGCAGAAGTACTGGAGGTAAAATGACACTTCCAGAATTATAATTACTGGGTAAATGTAAAATCATCAACTATTGCACACACACAAAATATTTGTACCATGGGAACTTAATCTGGGCGCTGATTGGTCTTTTTATATTCAGCTGTGGTTATGTTCAATTGGTAACAACGAAAACACATCCTATCAGATATTTACATGATGATTCATAACAGTAGCAAAATGACAGCTATGAAGTAGCAACGAAAACAATGCTAACGTTGGGGGTCACCACAACATGAGGAACTGTATGAAAGGGTCGCTGCACTAGGAAGGTTGCCCTAGAAGCTCCCGCTGTGACAGGGAGAGACACAGGTAATTAAGGAAGAATGCCACCTGTACCATGCTAAGGTATGAAGAAAATGTGGTGAGGCATGCCGATATGGCCCAGTCACTTTGCCTGAGGGGGCTCGGGAATGGCACCACAGAAGATGTGACATTAAAAATGAGTGTAGCTGGTCGGGTGACCAGGAGAAAGGGAAAAGGGACATTCCAAGCAGAGGATACAGCGGGTCGGGCTTTGGCCTTTGTTGTTTGTTTGGGGGTTTTGGGGGGGTGGGGTGGGTAGGGAAGGCTAGAAACCCCAGGGCAGGTCACATACATTAACACTAAAGTGTTTGGGGATTATTTAAAAGGAACGCGCTTGGGGTTTGTAGAAGGTGGGTTATGGAGAAGACGCGGTGACCAGAGGCTGAGGAAGCAGCGGGGTCGCCAATAACTGGGCACGAGGGTGAGCCGGGAGCCCTACACGCAGTACGAGGAACCTGGTGATCCCCAGGGGCAGGGTCCCCGGAACTTGGCGCGCTCCGTCCGCAGGTAGCACGGCCCAAGACTCCCCGCCCCCAGCGCTCGGCCCCGCCCCCAAGCCCCGCCCCCCGCTCTTTAAACCCGGGCCCCCGCCCTCACGCCAGGTGCTGTCCGGCCGCCGGCACAGGTAGGTTTCTCCGATCTCCACGGTGACTTCCGGCTCGCCGCGCGCGGGGGTCGGGGGAGAGACACGGCCCGGGGACGGGGCGGCGCCCTCCACCGCCACACTGTCCCCGGGCCCGGGGTCACCCTCCCCTACCACCCCAGCAGTCGCCGCCACAACCGCCGCGGCCGCACCGGGTGCCGCCATGGCCGGAAAGGAAGTGACGTCAGAAGGCAGCGCCGGCGCGGCCTTTTAGTTCCGGGTCGGGCGGGGCGGGGCCGAGGCTGCGGGCTCTGTGAGGTGGCGGGAGCCTATTGGCCGCGGCACCCGGCCAGGCTTGACGTTGACTGCGGGAGGGGCCTGTTCGGTGTTTGCCGTCCGTACGTAAACATGGCTGCGCCCCCGTGCGAACGCGGGGAGCCGCGCCTCCCGCGCGTCTTCAGTCTTCTGAGGACCTCGGTGCCTGAAGGAGCGAAGTTTGCCCACTCTCAGGACTGCCGCTCCCGCTCCTCTCTGGGCTGGGGCCTCCTGAGCCTGGAACCAACGCCCCGTCCCTCCCTCCCTCCCTCCCGCGGTGCACACCTCCCCCAGCCCAAGACTGGTCACCCTTGTTTGGAAGAACCCAGATTTTTGCTTTGCAAGGACTAAAAGCATAGTTGGGGCGGGGGAGGAGGCAGGAAGGGCAGAGGGTGCCCTGCAGGAACTGGTAAGTCACCCTCCAAATAAAGCCTTCCTAAATAAAGCATGGCTCGCTCAAACTCAAAACTGACTGCCATCGAGCCGGCTCCAACTCCACTCTCTGTGACTGGGTAGAACTGCCCCCGGGAGCTTCCTGGGCTGTAACTCGGTACAAAGAAAGGTGTGGGGGGCCCCCAAACCAGACGTCTCCCAGACTAAAACAGGCCAGAAGGCTTGAGACCAGAATCCTGAACTCTCACCTTGTGAGAGTTGTGTGCTGGGTGGCTGTGGGCGGGTGGTGTCCTATCGCCTCCACTGTGTAGGAGTGTCATCCTCTTGAACAGCCACATGTGTTCACATGGGAACAGGGTACACCAGCGTCTGCTGGGGTGTCTCTGACTCAGGGCTACCCACTCTGTGGGGTTTTCACGCTGGTTGTTCAGAATTCCGTTGCCAGGCCGTTCTCCCGAGGGCCTCGGGGTAGGTGCTTCATCAACTTTACCTTTGACAGTTCCCCGAGCCAGCTTTGATGTAGGACCCCGTTACTGGACTGAGAAATCAGAGGTAGGGGGGTGGCATGCCCAAAGCCTGGTGATATGACTGCAGCCTACTGATGCAGAAATGGCAGCTTAGGAGAACCAAAATAGGCAAGAGAAGGATGAAAATTCTTAAGTGATTGTCCATACCCCGCCCAATCTCCAGGTTTGTTATTTCACCCAGCCTGGGTCTCTGATACACTTTTGTCTAAGCCGAAGACATTTGGGCCCCAATATTACCCTATTCAAAGATTAGACCATAGCTTCTTAAAATGTGGGTCTTGACCCCTTAATGGGTCATGTCACTGAATTGGGGGGATGGGGAGGAGGTTTGTAAAAATTTTAGCAACAGTCAAGTGTTGCTGAAGGTGCCATGCACATAAAGTAATTCAAAGCCAAGCACATAAATGAATCCAGAGTGTTTCTGGCAGGGCATGCCCGTGCTGCCCATTTCTCCTGCGAAAGGAGAGCCAGGGTGGATCAAGTTAAAGCCGCCCGCCCTGGACTGAACTAGGCTTTACACATCCCAGATCAGGGTCACTGCTTCCACCTCATTCTCCAGTCCACCAGTGATGCTCGGATAGCCCGACTGCCCCTCCTGGGACTCCGTGGACGCTTGCCCCACAGCCCCCGGGATCCCTTTTCTTTGTCTCTGTTCCCTCAGTTCCCCTTCTCTGTGCTTTCAAAGACTAGTACCTGCGGAATGTCTTTGGCTAAGAGCCCTTCTGCCTGGAAATGCCAGAGGTAAGTTTCAACCAGGCTACTTACATGTCTACTTACCCCTCCCCTCCCCTCCCCAAGACAGCTGTTCATTGGTGCTGATGAGCTCAGCACTCGCCCCCCCAACTCCGAAGCATTAACTTACTGGCCCTGAACTTTCACTCGATCCTTGCCCTGCTTGGCTTCCCTCCCCGCCAGACTCCCATGCGATCTGGGTCTTCCTTGAGAGCATGCTCTGTAACCGCTCACTAGAACAGGAATCATTTGTTTATAGGGAATCCCACCAGAGATGCCCTTTGTAGCTTAAGACCTGTTCATGGGCCCTCGCTGCTTCCACCAAGACCAAGCTTCTCAGCTGCAGTCAACACCCACCACGCTCTGACTGCTGCCCGTTTCTCCAACCCCTGTGCTGTAGACGCAAGTTCCGTGGTTGCCAGCGAACCACAGGGCTTCCCACCACCTGCCTTTGGCCCTAAGTTATAGTTCCTCGCCCCTTCAACTTAGCATCCTGAAGGGTAGGAAATAGTATGGGCCCACAGCCAGCTTCAGGAAGGCAGCTAACAGTGCAGAGACACAAATGCAAAGAGAGACCAAAGAAAGACTTCTCCCTGACCCAACCAGACAAGCCGCCCAGCCTGCTTTCTTCTTGGCAAGATGGGCAAGCAGGTCCCACCTGAACAGCTCCTGGAAATTTCCGTTTCACGTGTCCCTCCACCAAGTGTCACCCTGAGCCTGTCTGCTCTCTTGGGCCCTTTCGTCCAGCTCCTAAGCCCCCTCCTCGGGGCCCTTTCACCCAGCTCCTAAGCCCCCTCCTCGGGCCCCTAGTCCTTGTTGGGACCTGCCAGGAAACCTCCTCGCCTGTCCCCTTCCTTGGCGGGGGCAGGCACAGATGGAGGGCAGTATTTTTAACTTTGCTCCAGCTCCGGAGTCAGGTGTCTCAGGAGGCTGCCCAGTCTGTGACCTTCACCTCCAGCTCGAGAACAGACCTGGAGCTGGGCCAGCCTGGGTCCCAGAAGCACAATCTATCAAAGAAAGGCCCTACCTGTGGGGGCCATGCCCACCTGCATCGGCTCACCTGAGCCAGAGGCCTCTAGGGCCTGCTCACTCCTGGACTGCAGGGACAGCGGGGCTAAGAAAGCTGACTAGGGCCAAGACAACTGTTCCCCTGCCTACCTCACACGTGGGCCCAAGAGGGCATTCAAAGGTGACCTTTAATAACAAACAGCAGGTGGAGGGGTAGCCCCCAGACGGGAATGGTGGAGCTGGTGCTGGAGGCATCAGGGGTCCCTGTCCCCCCGTTCTGAGCCCTGAAGGCAGGGAAGCAGAGGGCCCGACTGAGGGTGGGGGTGCCCAGCTCCCCGTAAGTCCTGTCTGAGGACCTGTGTGGCCCAAGATGCAGCAGCGAGTGGAGCAGGTTGGGACTCTGCCTGAGCTGGAAGGCCCTGGCGACAACGGAGTGTTGGCCCCGGCCGGGCGGGCGGGCAGCCCCGGCCCCGGCTCAGATACGGAAGCTCTCTTCACGGCCATCGATGTGGCGCAGTCGCAGGTAGACGTCCGTGCCGATGCCCTGCAGGGACTGCAGGCTCAGGGAACCGCCGAGGTACTCCGCGTAGGCCCGAGACGTGGGCAGCCCGAAGCCAAAGCTGGGGGTGAGCAGGAGGCAGAACGGACAGCTTCAGAGGCCTGGGTCCCCTGGAACCCCACCCCCGCCCCTCCATCCAGGCCAAGCAGGGCCTCACCCGTGCATAGGTCCTGACTGGCCACCACTGAGCATGTCCAGGTGGCCAAAAAGGGGGCTGATCCGGGGGTCTTGGGTGCTGGCTTCGGCCGTGGTGAAGTGGTAGTCCATGACCCGCTCCAGGTCCTTGTGAGCGATGCCCCCGCCCCGGTCTGAGATCCTAGCAGGATGCCGATCATGGGGGCTTGTGGAGTCTGCCTGCCTGACCATCCCACCCAGCCCCTGGCTGTGCCATGCTTGGTTTCTTTTATCCGGCCCCACGGGTGCCTTGGAGACTGGGTTGACCTGCCCCAGAACAGATCCTGTCCTACTAACCCAGCACCACTGCCCACCCACTCTTGACTCTCAACTCCAGGCCCCTTGAATCCTGGATTTCTTGATGTCCAGTTCCTGAGAATCTCTGGACCAGAGTCCTCTCAGCTGACCCAGCACCCAGCCTAGGGGGTCCTGCTGGTGCTGGTTTGGGTCATGCAGTAAATTGTAAATCAGCATCAGTGCCTGCTTCTTTTCGCCCCCCCACCACCACACACACATACCCCTTACTCCCCACTTAGGACAAACCTGATGACAAGATCGATATCGTTGTTGGCAATGGTGATGACCACATCGGGGACATTGTAGGGGGTGTCTAGGTGACTCTCCATTGTAGCCCTGCACAGGAAGGGTAGACCCGGCAGATGGTGGCACCCCAACTCCTGCCCCTAGCACCGCCCCCCCTTCTCCCCCTCCTGCCAAAGAGCCAGGCAGCCCACCTCATGGCATTCTTGAGCAGCTCGGGCAGGATGTAGTCCAGTGGCATGGGGATGAAGGGGAAACGGGCAGCCACGTGCCCGTTGATGCGGACACGGGGGGCATTGCCATATTTGTGTTCACACAGGCGTCTGAGGATGACAGTAGGGGTTCAGGTGGGTTCCCAGATAATTGGTTCTCTACTATGTTATAATCCCCTCCCCCCCAAAAAAAATTCCACTCCCCCCAACACTTAGCAATTTCAGGAGGCAGCAGTCAGAGCCGACGGGGACGGGTACCCTGCATGCATGGTGGGCAGATGCCAGGGGTGTTTGTGACCAGTTAAACAGGCATGGTTGGGAGAGTCCCCACAACAAAGAACTGTCTGCCATAAAGGTCCAGGTCAAAAAGCCCTGCCCTAGACTGTGCCGGGGAAAGGGCTCCTTCCCCCAAGCCTCCCTGTTCCCAAGACATCTGCCCCCTGGCTCTTCTCACCTTACCTGGCAAAGTCTACCCACTTTTCAATAATCTTCTTTGGTGAAAGGCGAGTGCAGATGATGCCAACAAAGTCGGGCTGCCAAGAAGGTGAGGAGTTAGGACTGTACCACAGCCCCTTCCGTCCTTCTCCACCAGAAACCAGAACCAAACCAGACTCACTGCCCTCGAGTCCAGGCTGACTCAAAGCCACCCTTACAGGACAGGCTAGACCTGCCCCTTTGAGTTTCTGAGAATGCAATTCTTTCCAGATGAGTAGAAAGCCCGTCTTTCTCCCTTGGAGCAGTTTTGAGCTGCTGACCTTGCGTATCCCAGCCAAATGCATAACCACTACGCCACCAGAGCTGCTCCTTGTCCACCAAGTATTTGCACATTCAGATCTGCTGAAGCAGCCCAAGTGCCACCTGCAGGCCTGGATCCAAGTCCCCAACCCAAATGGCCACCCTTGCCACTCCCAGCTGAGTCTCAAGTTCAAATCCTCCCACCTTGTCCTCGTGCAGTGCCAAGTGATGCGTAGCCAACATGCGGATCCCAAGCCGCGACGTCAAGGTCTTGTCCAAGAAAAAGCGGACAAGCTTCTCGTCCTGGGAAAGGGTAGGGCCCTCAGCATCCTTGCAGCCCTCCCCAGCTCCCCCCATCAGACCCGGGCCCATGCCAGCTGCCTCTGACCTCGATATGCTTTCGGCTCTCCCGAAGACCCTCGGCTAGGAGGGTCACCACATCCTTGTGGTCATCCAGCAACTGTCGCACCAGCTGGCAGTACCGGGCCTCTTCAGTCTGGTCCTTGATCTGCAGGCCAGAGTGGTGAGCTGCAGCTGTCAGCCCTGTCTGCACCACCCGCCCCTCACCCTGTCCCTGCCCGCCCCTCCCCTCACCGGAGGGAAGTCTGTCAGCTTCTGGAAGGCACGGATGTACAGCTCGTGCTGGGAGGAAGAAGCACATGAGTCACTGGGCTGCCGTGAGCAGCACGCCATGCCTACCCATCCACATACACCACTCACTCAATTAGAGCCCCCATCATGGGCTTCCAAGCCTCCAATTGATGCACGGGCTGCCCTCTGAAAGCTACATCTTTGCCCTGAAATCTCTGGGCAGGCAACACTGCCTGTCTACACCCCAAACAAAACACTGCCGAGTCCGTTCTAATTCATAGCAATCCTACAGGCTGGGGTAGAACTGCCTCTGTGGGTTTCCAATATTGTAATTCTTTACAGAAAGAGAAAGCCTCGTCTTACTCCTGCAGAACAGCTGGCGGTTTTGAACTGCCAACCTTGCAGTTAGCAGCTCAAGGGGTAACCCCCCCTACGCCACCAGGTGTCTGCCCTCCCAGGCTCCACAGTTGTCCCACAGGTAGGCACAGGGATCCAAGATCTTCCTACTGGGGCAACACACCCCCTTACCACGTGCAGGACGGTGGGGTTGCAGCCGATGATGAAAGGCAGGCTGCGGAAGCCCTTGATGCGGTGAGCGATCCTCACCGGGAGCTCCTGCTGCAGATACCGGGCACTTTTCTAGAAAAACAAAGGGGAGCAAAACAGGTGGGAGACCTGAGTAGCTGGGGCAGAGCTCCAGGACCCAAGGGAAAAATCGGGGGCAGGCCTCTTACCAGAAGGTGGCTACCATCCTGTGAGCGGCCGGAATAGAGCATCATGGTGGGCGTAAGTCTAACCGAGGGCTAGAGGGGCAGAGGAGTCTTGGGCTTGAGACCTCCCAACACCTCGCCCTCCCGGCCTAAGCCCCCACTACCACCCCACCACCCCACCACCCCCTACCCCCGCCCGGACCAGGGGCTGGGCCTCTCCACCAGTGGCGCACCTTCTCTGCTGCCACGTCGATGGCCGACTGGTTGTAAAAGGAGGTGACCGTCTTGGAGCGTTCGCGGGCCATCTCCACGTAGTGTGTGTCGGTGGCGGAGGTGGAGCGGGTCCGGAGCGCGAGTGGGGACCCCAGGAGGGGCCGGAGTGGAGGCGCGCCCCGGGCGCCGCTCCCCAGCATAGACGCCAATATCATTTTTCTCATCCTTTGTCGGGACTGGAGCGGCTACTCGAGTTGAGGACCGGGCAGCTGGAGGCGACCCCCAAAACCGGGTAAAGAAGGGCTCGTCTCTGGCTTCAGGGGTGAGGGGTGCAGCGATGTGCCGACCAGCTCAGCCCCCGGGGTGCGGCTCCCATCTAGCAGCGGGGAGAAGGAAGAGGGAGCTGTAAGGAACGGCGCCCAGGGCCCTTGGCACCACCTGCCCACGTGGGCACCGGCTCCACCTGGGCGATCTCTGCCCATGCTGCCAGGCACATCCCCTAAGATACGGGCGAGCCTGGACCAGCTGGCCTCCCGGGGCGGCCATGCTCCAACCTGCGGCTCCTTCGGGCAGAGGTCTGCAGGGAGAGGCGGGTCCTTTCCAACCCGAAAACCTCGCCCCACCCCTTGGGTGCCGGCACCCTCCTTCCGAGGCGGGGCTGACCCTGCCAGCGCCTTGAGCCCCGGGGCGGGCGCCCTGGCCTACCCGCTGAAACACAGCCCTAGGCGCCCGGGGCCAAGGGCAGCAAGGCCGCTGCCGGCGAGTCTTCCCCGCGTGCCCACGCTGCCGATCCCTCAGGACCCCCGGGCACCGCATCTGGCAGATGCGGACCTCGCCCTCCGACCGCGCGCGCTCCCGCACTCGGCGCGAGGGTCGCGGCAGCAGCCGCGCCCTGCGGTACCTCGATGGCCGGGCCTGGGAAGCTGGCCCTCTCAGCGCGGGGCCGGGGCCAGGGTCGGGGCCGGGGGCCGAGCGGAACCGCCCCAACAGTTGACCAGCAGGCAGGCCGAGCCGCCTGCGCCCTCCGCCGCCGTGACGTCACGCGGGTTGTGAACGCCCGAGGCCTCCCGGGAGCTGTAGTTTGGTGCTACGTTCTCCGGACCCCAGCACCAGCCCATCTATCTGGACGCTGCGCCCGGCGCCAGGGCTCCCGGATACATTATCACGGCTTCTCTCTCCTAATCTGTAAACGGAGCTCCCGGGAGCAAACGAGGAGAGGGCGAGAAAACCTGCAGATGCAAAACACACCCCCTGCCCTTTTCCTTCCAAGTTCATTTATGGGAAAGGAAACTTCCTAGTTCACTGCCATCCAGGAGAGATGCCTACTCACAGTGATGCTACAGTGGTGCTACGGAGCAGAGTATAAAGCCTTTCTCCGCGGGGCGGCTGGTGGTTTCGCGCTGCGGCTCTTTCAGATGGCAGCCCGGTGCTTTAATTCCGTATTGGTAAAATGTTATATGAATCTCATGGTTGCCGTGTGGGTCACATGTATATGTTTGTCAAGTGCCTGGGGCAGTGTAAAATCCGGAATTCGCACCATCAACGTGGCATTGTTATCATCATTCATTCAGCCTGCCGGGGGAGGCTACCATTCAGGTGAAAGCACATTGGGGTTTTTTAATCAGGACCACCTCTTCTCAGCCACGCTTCAGGCTGGCAGGTCTGTCTCCAGCCCTCAGCTCCTAAACCTAGCCTCCCCTGCTCAGGCAGACAGTTACAAAGTTCTTTCTGCAATAAGTACCCAGAGGCACAAATAACGCTCAGTCCCTAAGCCTCAACTCGACTTCCAGGATTGGCAAACCTATGCTTAAGTGCCTAAAGGGGCCCTAAGTATCAGCTAGCCTCCTGCCCAAAGGCCATCACTTTCCTCAATCTGTGGGCAGTGAAGTTCACTGCGCTGTCCCCTAATTCTGCTGCCACCATTTATCTGCCACTGTGTTTTCATCTTCTTTTTAACTCACAGTTTGGGGGGTTAATTAGGGGAGTCAGGATCAGGAAGCATTAAGGATACAACCCTTATGTCTGCACTGCCTCTTCTCAGCCAGGCCAACAGGCATGATTCTCATTCTCTAAGCCTCGCAGTCCCTTGGCCTCTGCCCTGCTTGGGCAAGCGTTGGTTCTCCCGGAGGGCTGACAAATGCCCAAGGGGCACCCCATTCTGCAAGCCAGCTTCCTGCCTGGGGGTGTCAGGCCTGCTCCTCTGCTCCTAACTCTCGTTCAGACTCTGCGACGTGACCTGAGCTTACAGTCTCCGCTGCCTCTGCCACTTCCAGCAGGGGGAGGGTCTTTCTTGATGGTCACGTGGTCCCCTCCCCTCATGCTAAGTACGGGCTCGCTCATCTACCCAGCAAAACCGACCAATCCTCTGTATTAGTGAGTGTGTCACACACCCTCTGTGGGAGAAAATCCAGACTTTCTACTCCCTTAAAAGAGTTACAGCCCGGGAAACCCATGGGGCAGTTCTACTCTGCCCTACTGGGTCCGACTCGATGGCAGGGAGTTTATGCGCCTGGTGGGAGTTACAAAACACTACTGACTAGAAGAGGCAGATACGTCATTTTGTTAGGTAGCAGAGTAGAGGGGGTTGTCCCTCCCCAGGCCAGAAGGGCCCCACAGAGGAGGTTGGAAGAGAATCAGATGAGCCTTAGCCCCCCCATAAAGACTTTAACTGAGGGCATGCTCCAATTCAGGCCCCCCAGCGAGAGGTTTAAATACTTTAGTGGCAGGCGCCGGCCGGCCAGCCCCTTCGGCCCCTCTGCCTGCTGTCCTTGACCCTGCTCCTGTGCCCTCTTGGCTGTGCCACGGTCTCTCTGGCCTCAGGTCACCACGTGTGGGTGAGCAGTCCCACAAGGTTGCCCCTGGTCAGTGGTGAGCCCCAGTTCGGATTATGCTCGCATTGGCAAGCTTTCCCGCAATAGCATGTACACTTTTGAGACTGTGAAACCTGAAACTTCTTCCATCCTTTATAAAAACCCACTTGGATCACAAGCCAGGCTTCGGCGTGAATTCTTTCTTGTGCCAAGCCAAGAACCGAGGTATTTCCCACCCGAGAAATCTAACCATTTCACATCGCCACAGGGACACCCAGCCTTTCAGCCTCGCATTTTCCCCGTGCATCAGGGCACCACAAGTCAAAATAACCTGTTGCTCGCCACCAACCACAGATAGATAGCGGGATGCCTTCTTCACTGCAGCTATGTATTGTGTAAATACTGGAAAACATTTACATTTCTCCCAAAGGGCTAAGTGAAACAGCTGAGGAGCCAGGGGCCGGTCTGCGCAGACCCTAAAGAAGGAAGGGGCTTCCCCAGCCTCTGGATTTCCTCTTCCCCTCCCACCCTTTTCCATAACATCCTGGCAGAGGCTGGGAAGTGGATGCAGGAGGCCTCCCCACTCCGGACCAGCCTTTGAAGATAGGAGAGGTGGTCCTGGCAGGCGAGGCCGCATGCGCAGACTCCGAGGGCTGAGCGCCCGGCCGCTGCCGGGACCGGGGTGCTCACGTGGCCTGGGCGAGGCGCCTGGTCCGGAGCTCACCCCGCCTGACCCGGCCGCCCGCCCGCCCGAGTGGACGCGGTCTTCACCCGCTGCTGCCCCCCAGCGACGAAGACTGGACTTGCACTCCCCACCCGCTGCAGTCTCACCGCCCGCCCAGCCAACTCACAGCGACCCTCTGGGATAGGGTGGAACTGAAAGGTCCCTGTAGGCTCCCGAGAATGTAACGCTCATGGGAGCAGGGAGTCTCCCTTTCTCTGGCAGAGCGGCTGGTGGTTTCGAACTGCTGACCTTGTGGTTAGCAGCCCAATGTGTAACCCCTATGACACCAGGGCTTCTGTAAGGGGTAAGGCATTGGGCTCCTTCTGGGTTGGCATGGTGAGTTATCTATTGAGCTACTAAGGGCAAGGTCGGCAGTTCAAAGCCACCAGTTGCTCCTCAGTAGACCGAGGAGGCTGTCTAATTAGTCTTAAGGGAGGGAGGGGGGAAAGAGGAGCTGATACCAAGGGCTCAAATAGAAAGTAAACGTTTAAAAAAGAATGATGGCAACATACATACAAATATGCTTGATACAACTGATGTATGCATTGTGAGAAAAGCTGCCAAAAAATGATCTTTTAATTTAAAAAAAGAATTAGAGTCAAATGGGGAGCTGATATCAGGGGCTCAAGTGGGGAGAGAATGCTATGAAAATGATGGCAGCATATGTGCAAATGTGCATTGTGGGGGAAGAGCCAGCCCCCCCAACTAATCACGGGTTCAATAGGTGCAATTGTACGGTTAGGATATATAAAGATTCTAGTAATGTCAAAGAAAACCTGAGAGATGGAAGAGATTGGAATAATGGAGTCAGACATATTTCATGGTAGCATGCTTACCTCCTAGGCGGCCATGATCTTACCAGCCAGGTCTGTGTTCAGCGTGGGCCCAGGGCAGAAGAGCGAGGCGAGGTGCGAGGTGCGTCAATTTATTGCTCCCAATGCTTAGCTAACCCAGGCTTATATCTTCTTTGGGGGCATGATTACAGGTAACCACACATGTCACAGGAAGGGGTCGTATAACAGGCATACACACCATAGGGAGGGGCTATACAATAGGCAGAAGCTATACAATAGGAAGGGGATGAGCTGGGGTATACATGTGACAAGAAGGGCGGACCCTAGATTCATGATGGCGGCCTAACCTTGGTCATCCTTGAGTGGGCTTGACCTCTCTGGGCTCTCCTTCAGGGGAACAATCTACTACTATCCTTATCAGAAGGGAGTGGGCCCTCCTTGTTGTGGGATAAACAGTGGTGTCTGCTGGCTGTAGATGGCTGATAACCCTGAGGGAGAATAAGCCCTGAACTACTTCTGATGACCTCCAAGTGTATAGTCATTTGCCACGTGTCGCAAGCAGCTAAGTTTGGCCTAGATTTGGGGGAGACGACTTGGGAGAAATCTTTGTTTCCCACAGTGTTTGACACAGTGGTTGAATGTAT